CCAGTCACATAGGAAACACAAGAGCCTTGAAGGGACCAATGTATCCTGGCACCACCTGGTGGCAACCTACAGCAACTGCAACGGCTCTCGTGAGAAGTCCGTGAAGGAATGTAATTGCAGCTAAAAAGTTGCAACTGAAAAGCCTGCTGGCTGACGAAAGCCAACCTTAAGTTGTTAAAGGAGGTGGTTGCATAATAGGGCACAAAAGGATACATCGGCACATGGGATCAGAAGGCCTTCAGGATATTGTGAGGGTCCAAGAATGTGCATGTCCTAACAGCCCTCTGTGGCTTATGTCCCTGGTCACCCACTTTGGGAAGGAGCTCGGGTACAATATCCTTCTTCCAGTTATACCCTTTAGAGAAGGCAAGGTTGCCTGCCATTTATTCTCCAGATTCCACCATCCTATCATTTTATACACTGAGCTCCCTCTCATGCAGGGCCGGTGAAGAGGTTCTGAGCTACACTCCTACTTAGATCCCACTGGGCTAATGGCGAGGGGATCCAGGTGATGGTATCCAAAGAGTAACAAAGAAATCTCCCCCTCTCCCCCCCCAAAACTCCATCTTGTCCTTGTAGAGCTCATTTCATTTATGCTCATTACATCAGGAGTTTTGTTGTTCTTCTTTTAAAATTGCTATCTGACCAAACATGACTGAAATTCAAGAGTCCTCAAGCTAGAGTCAGAAGCACAGATCCATAACACTTGCCACATTAAAGCCGTCTCCTAAATTGCTTTGCGCGTGGTAGGCTGTGTTGAGAGAAACCGTGGACCAGGCAGAGTTATGATGCAAGAGATTGAGAAGGAGACAGAAAGTAAAAAGCAAACGAACAAACAAAAGACAAAGTTACCTGGGGACGTTTCCACACCACCTTCCCGGGAAGCAGCCGGTTGTAGAAAAGCGAATCATTCTCAGGCAGAAAGGTCGGATCACAGAACAGTCGGCCATCTTTGATGCATTCCTGCTTCAGTTCCTGGTACTTCTGGTTTTTGAAGAGCTTCAGAGGAGGACCCATACTGCCGAACTATGTCTAGAATGAGAAAAATTGTGGTCACTGGAGGAAGAAGTTCTGAAGTATTTTGAAGATTACCTGAAATTAGACAAACGGTAGTCATCCCAGTGACTTTATTCCTGGAACTAGGCACATGGAGCTTGGCTTTAAAAGAAAAGTGAAGATTTTCAGGGAAAGTAGGGTCCAGGCTCTGCAACCGATTAGCTCAGCATGGGGCTTTGCCTAGGGTGCCTAAAACATTTGGGGGCCTCAGTTTCTTCCCCTGCCAAATGGGGCGATATGGGCCTGAACAATATCATTGAAAAAATAGATAATAAATGTTAAGATCGCTCGTTAAATGTGAGTCATTCTCATTTAAAGGGCAAGCTTCCGTTTTACATCAGCAGAGAGGAGTTTCAAGCAAAGGACAATTTTCAATTTGAAGATAAAAGAAAAAAGTCGTTTTACGATATTCAGAATAAGTTGGTGCCCTGAAGGGCCACACACTATGTGCTTCAGGGGAGAAGCAGCCCCTTTCACTTCTAAGGAGCCCCTTTACACAATTCCTTCCCTTTTATCATTAAAAGGGCTTTGCATTTTTTATTACTGGCCAGGAAGGCTAATGCAAGCAACAGAGCTCAGCAGATGGCCTCCAAAGACAAGGGAAGATAGAAAGATTGTATGTGTCTTTCTTCTTCAAAGTCTAACATGCAGTCATTTGCCCGCTTTAAAAAAGGCAGACTCTGAAATTCAATTACACTAATTTGGTGGACTATAGATTCTTATCCCACGGCAATACATTGTTGCTTTCTTTTCTTTAAAAAAAAAAATTTCACACGGCTAAATAGAGAATTAATATAGTGGCTCTTCAAGCAATATAGTGGTCTATCTGAGTGCCCCACACTCAAATGCCCCTAACAACTGGGTTTTGGGGGATAATTTGAAAGACAACTTTGATTTTAAATAACTTTGGGGTGATAATAGGGTTCTCAATGCCTTTGCTTGATTCACAAAGATAGATTCGTAATGATTTTAATGATTCTCTCTTGACGCTCAATGGTTAGTAAGAGGAGGGTTGTGAAATTTACATGGTGCCAATTATTTAAAAAATATTTTTTAGGGATAACTGTGTCTATATTTCGTGATTACGTGAGGGTCGAAGCAGGAAATATCTAAGGTCAGAGTATCTGCTGAAAAGTGGGCGAAGTTTGAAAAAAAACTAATTAGCACTTTAAAGAGTGTCTGTGTAGGTAACACAGCTCAAAATCCAGTTAATAAAGAGGGAGTCACTATTTTATAAAAAGTGAAATAATAATCAGAGCTCTCTACTGTCTTATTTCATGTCCTTTCAGTATTACATTGAGATGCCTTACTGGTAAAGAAGTCTTCCTATTTGAAAACCGTAAAAAAAAAAAAAAAAAAAAAAAAATTGAATTCGACATTATTTGCAAACTACAATATATAAAAACAAACTTACCCTTTCTCTGAATCCAAGGAATAAGAAGCTGAAAAGAACCATAGTTTGTTTGTTTTTTTAAAATATATAGCCTTATTGATTGACCTTTGTTTTTCAAATTGAAGGTTATGGGACACTGCAAAATGCCAAAATGCCTTTAAATCAGATTTAATTCTGATTAAATCATCAGATTTAATTCTGTTCACATATTTCAAATATTAAAGTGTATCTCATTGTATTTGGAGGCATGAGAGGTATCAGTACTAATTTTCCGTTAAGCAGTAGCGGAGCCAATCTGAATGTACACCCAGTCTCCTTTCTGGAGCCTGTTACAAATGGACCCCAATTTTCACGTGTGCTCTAACTTATAACAAACACCGTTGTGCCTCTGGCTCTCCTGGAAGGGTTGGTGGACTGCCAGGGGCTGGGGATTGTAAATGGCGGATAGTCTGGGGCAATTAGGGTATTTAGTTTGCCAGAACCCCCTAGCCCTTGAACGTGTTGGATAAATGGGTATTTCCTGTTCTTGGGAAGGCCCTCTGCCCCCATGCCTCCCTCGCTACTCAGTCAAATGGCAAGTCCCTGCTCTATAAGGAGGGCCTATCTATAGGCAGAAGCTGCATCAACTGACAAGAAAATCAGGCTTGATTTGAAAAACCAGTATGATCCCAGTAGACCCTTCCAGAGGCAGAATATCCAGCTGACGTGTATAGGGCAAGCCTTCTGGGTGAGGGCACTTGCATTTGGGGCGTGCACAGTAAATACGGAACAGCAGGCTATCAGCCTGAAATTTGACAGGCTTTCATTCGAATCAAATTGTAGGCTCAGGTCCTGTTGGACTTGCAGAGTAGAACTGCGCCCCATTTCTGGCTTGGTTCCTTTGTGCCTCGATTTTCTCATCAGGGGAGTGGGGTTCTCTATCCTGCCCTCCTTACCCTGTGGCTGTACCTAATGAGATGGTTAGCGTAAAAGTACTTTGAATAAGCAGAAAGGGCTCCGTAAAGGCAAGATACACATTGTCAGCACAGGGCTGGGCACACAACCGCTGTCCAGGAAATATCGGTTGAACGGATGAATGTCTTATGCAGACAATTAACGCTTGCATGTATTGTCCGAAACGCACATTCTAGTTCAGGTTCTCCTGGTGGCAGCCATGTTTAGGAGGCATTATCCGTGCCCTTTATTTTGTATCTGCAGAAATGGCAACTCACAGAAGGGGCAGCTAGAAACGCAAAACTGGCTCCAGCCCGGGTCTGTGCAATGTCAGATTCAGTGTTCAGCTTTCCCCTTACACCACACTGCTTCTTTTGGTCACTGAAGGGATTTCTTTCTTTTTTTTTTTTTTAAGCTCAAATGAGGAAAACCTTCCAAAGCAAACATGATACCTAACTTGGAGGCATTCTGCCTAGCACTTATTGCCATGGTGGATACTGAAAATGTTCTTTATGTCCACGGTCTGATGATCATGGGAGAATTGGAACCCTTCACCTCAGAGGGTTCATTAGGTAAGTCTGGGGGGAAAAAAAAACAACAACACAAAACCTTCTGGAAACCCAGAAATTTGTAAGTTGGGTTTGTCGCAAACAATTTGCCCTGCCGGAGCCCAGGAGAGTGGGGAAGGGACTGCTTCCTCTTGGCTGCCTTACTGCACCCAACTGTGAAGACAAGAGGGCCTTTAGGTTAAAGATGGCATATTGAGAAAGTCAGTAAATAGAATCCAAACTAGGGCTTCGGGTATAAACCAAAGAGAGCCTCTGGCTAACAAAGGGAACGGGCACATCTAAGATGAGGGACCCCGTGGTCTGAGGGTCGGAGGTATTGGGTGGTTGGGTGAAGCAGAGTGCGGGGTTTTGCATTAAGACGATAGTCTCAAGCAGTACGATTTCAGTGAGGACCCACTGCCTAGAGATAGAGCATGAAAAAGGCTGTGTGAACGCAGGCAAGTGGGAGGGGTGGGTCCAGAGGGTGGAAAGTTGGAGATTGCCAGGGGAAGTTGAGGGAGCCTGCCACGTAGAATAATACAAGGTCTGCAGTTGGGGGGATGGAGTTTTTGCTACTCGCTGGACTGGAAATCGCGGGGGAGCTGGGCAAACTCTTACGAAGAAAATCACTTGTTCGTCACCTGTGGGTCAGCCTTAACATCGAAACCAGATTTGGCTCTGAAACAGGAAATCTGCCTCAGTTTCTTAAAGAGAATTGTTCTCTGAGAGAGGAAATCCGGTCTGCAGGTTACAAACTGCTTTTGCCGGGGGTGAGCGGGAGAGGAGGGGCGGGCATTTAAGGGGGAGAGAGGGAGAGAGCATGGCTCCCGAAGTGGTGTCCTTGGCCGGTTTCCCTCCCTCCCTCTCCCCCCCCCTCCCCGCCCTCAGTTCCCCCTTGTGCTGTCCTCGAAGCAAAATAGGAGGTAACAGCAATTAGGAGTTTTCAGAGCAAACTGAATGCAGAAGACCTAACTCTGCCCAGGCATGAAGTAGGCACCACTTTAGTCTCACACCTGGGGGTGGTGCGGGGAGGGAGAAGTAATAAAAACTCGGCGTCCACGGTACACAGAGCGCTGGCTTCGGCAGCACATACACTAAAATGGGGACGATACTGAGAAGATGAGCGTGGCCCCCGTGCAAGGATGACAGGCATGTTCCCCAGAGAATAGTGCCTCCCGTGGCTACGCAGGCGGAGTCATAGCCCACATCTATGCACACGCATCTACCAGGGAACATATGGCTGACCAGATTCCACTTGTTGGCCAGATATCCTGGGGTTGGAACGGGACCATAAAAGTCCTCGGATCCAGCCTTATCTGGGACACATCTACTCTATCCAGAGAGAAGACTGTTCAAAGAAACTGGAAGAAGAAAAAAAGAGTGCACAATTCCCTTTAATTCCACTGTTGAAGAACTTTATCAAAGAATGCAAGACAATTCAGAATCATAAAAAGAACACAAGTGGTCAGCAGATCCAGGATCGAGTCCCAGATACCACCATTTAGTGTAGATAACAGCTCTGTCCCTCAGTTTCCCCATCAGCACAAAGGAAATACGATGGCTGTCTTGTCAACCTCAGAGTGTTATGCTGGTTGGGGGGCGGGGGGATCGAATAAAATTAAGCATATGTACATACTTTTAACTTTTAAAGATAAGACCAATGTCCAGCAGCAGTATTAGAAAACATTCATTTTTAGCAAATTAAATCTCGTCTCTATCCTTAGTGGAAAATGAGATGTGGTCACCTGCCTTAACTAAGACACTCACCGACATTTGAAAGACCAATATAAAATGGCCCCTCTGCCATTTGATACCCCCTCTCTCTTCCACCTCTCCTTTTTGGCTGGCTTGCCCCACTACCCGTTTTTTCCCCTCTTGGATGCATAAGCCCATCCTATAACTCTAATTTTACAGCCTTGCGAGAATCCACTTCCAATTTTTACAGAATGTTAGGCTGGAAGGACTCTTAGAAATCACCACGCCCAACTCCTTGCTTTCACAAGAAGGTGAAAGCCTGGGCCCAAGGTTACATACACAGTTAGTGACAGAGCTGGCCCGAAAACTCAGCCTCCTGCTTTTGGGAATTCTCATTGTCTTCTTCTCACAAGAATGCACGCGGGAGTTTTGTGTTTGAATTGCAAGCTGTCAGAAGGTGTGATGATTTCAAATCAAAGCTAATCAAAGAAACACTGTTTGGGGGTCACAAAGGGACTTTTTTTCCCCCTTGCTTTTAATTTAGGAACCGAAAACACCCAAGGACACGGAAAGACTTTCTTTCTTTTTTTTTTTTTTTTTTAACCTATTCTTGACAAAGCAAGTGTTTAGACTTTTCCATGGCCTGCTAGGGACTCTGTAAGGATAAATAAAGAACACTATTCAAATTCCAAGTATTCACACGCGCACACGCGCACATGCACACAAACTGGCAGAGGAGTTAATTAGCAGTCCCCCCCCCAGCCCCACAGCCGAAGAATCTTTTTTTAATCCCCTCCCATACAATGTCCTTCATTGCACAACCGAGATTAGCAAATGAGACGTTAGCCATATTTCAGTAAAACATGAATACAAACCACGATGCTTTATCCTGAAGCCAGAGGTGACCGTCGGGATGTTAGAATTTGTTTCATTTTCCTAGATGATTGTCCCCAGACGGCAGGCTCCAAATCCTCAGAACCAATTTTCCATTGCAATACTCGGATCCTTTTGCCGCCCTCCCCCCTCCGCCCCACTCTGGTCAAGTAGCCCAGTTAAGCCCCCGGGCTGTGAGTGGCAGCGGAGTGGGGAGGAAGGGGGTAGAGCCCCAGCTGCAAATCAAAGTTTAAGCTAGAGCGAAAATCAGAGACGAAGAAGATCAACCTGTCACCAGGGCAGGAGGACCCCCGGCCCCGCGGACAGGACAGCCACCACGGCCACTCTCTCTTGTGCAAGAGCGCACAGCCCGTGCACCCCACTCCCAGGGCTTTTAAAGACCTTTGGTACACAGTGTGCAGCTACGATTATGCCTGCCTTTCAATAATTTGCCCACAACTGTGGGTCCGCAGAAGCCAGAAGGAAGCCCTGTCAGCCCTGGGAGGGCTTCTCCCTCCACACCTCCCTCCCCGGTTCGTTCTTCCTTCTCAGGTACTTTGGGTCACGAGAAGCCAAAACAAAACAAAGCAAAACAAAACCCACCACCACCACCAACAAACAACCCCACACACAACCGACCAGATATCACCAGAAAAATCTCATCGCCAGACAACCTCAATCCCCCCGCCCCCCATCACAAAGTGTCCCATTCGTTTTGAAGTTTGCAAACTCTTCCGCACGCCTACTGGATTCCAACAACTCATAAAAATGAGAGCTGCCGAGTTGGACTAACTATAAAGTTCCAGTTGCTTCGCCTCCTCTAGCCTCCAAGTTATCCAGCAAGCAGAAGTGTGCAAATGCCCTCCCTGCTCACCTGAGTTAGCCCAGGCGCCCGCCGCCGCCGCTCTTGGCCAGGTAACCCCTACAAAGTCTGCTCAGTCAGTGCCGCTGCACAAAGATCCTGGCTTTCTTAACCTGAAAACTATTTGGGCTGTACCAAGCTCTGCTCACAGGGGGAGGTGCCTCGCAGAAACTTCAGGAGCCTTTGCCCCGCCTCGCAGTCAGAAACTGATCCTGAGTCATGAGGAAAATCTGGAAAGCGCCCCCTGCCAGATGTGCAGACGGGATGCCCACTCCAGATCCACCCACCAGCAAACTGGAAAACTCAGGAAGCCACGTTTGAAAGCTCTCTCTGTTCCGAGGAGCAAGAAGACTTTCAGGGAGGGCTCTGATAGATTCCTGACTTTTCTGTCCCGGGGTTAAGAGTGCAGATGTGGACAAGACTCGAGAGAGGACACGGAGAGAAAAATCTTGAAGTGTCAACAAAGTTCTCACGGGCCGGGCTGCAGACATGGCCCTTGTACACGGATCTCACTCACATCCTGCAAGTGAGTGGGAGAGAAAGTGGAGCTGATGGGGCACAGGGAAGAAAAAGATTGCTTTGTGAAGCCACAGGTTACTTCTGGCCGAGGGCAGAGAGAAGGGAGCATGAAGAGGGAAGGGAGTGGAGTTTGATTCCAAGGCAGTTAGTTGTAGGCAGCCTAATTTCGAGCAAGGGGGCCCTGGCGATTCTGCCTGGCTGTGTGAGGCGAAAAGCAGAGCAAGTATCTGCTCTGAAAGGCCAAGAGGCTTCGGGGGCTACTTCAGGGGAATACCTGTAAAAGCCTCTGCTGCACCCTGGTCAAGGCCTCGTTCGGAGACATTCACTGGGACACAGTCCCAGGGACGCCATTCCCAAGTTGTTTTGTTTGTTTCAATTTTCACAACCCCGTGAAGACTCATCATCTCATTCCCTCCCCAGCTCGCCTGACCAATGTGGTGTCAACCTTTTGACTTGAAATGATCACTCTCGGCCCCTATCCCTGCACCAACCCTCCCTCTGGCTAGTTGACTGACGGGAGGGAGGGAGAGAGGGAGTGGGAAGGAGGGAGGAAGGGAGAGAGAGAGAGAGAGAACAAGTGAGCAAGGACTCCAAGAAGGAAAGAAAGTGTGCTTCTCTCTACTCACTGGCCCCATACCATGATATTTTCATGAAACAGAGCTGAGCAATTCTGTGACTCTGGTCTCTGAGACCTCCCTCTTGGCTTTTCCCCGTAACTCCCTCTGTGCCTTCTCCTCTATGCCTAATGGAAACTGAGCTAGAGGTAGGGGGCAGTACAAAACACCAGAGCCCAGGAGAATCAGGGCTTTAAATAGTGGCACCCAATTTGGTAATTGAGTGACAGATTTCTCAAGCAAGTATCCCCCCATGTTGTGGGATTTGGGCTTTGAAACCAAGCGGGGGTGGGGGGCGGTGTTTTTTCTGCGGTCATCTTCTTCAGCCGTCTTTTCTACCTCCCTAATTTTCAAGTGAGTAGGGAATCATAGAATCTGAGAAGCTCTGTAAAGCAGCTTGTTCCAAGTTTGAGCACCCCCTGATCGTTAAAAACATATTCCTTCGGCTGAGCAAAAATCAGCTTCACACAAACGATTTCTTTTTTTTAATTTTTTTTTAAAGATTTTATTTATTTATCTGACAGAGAAAGACACAGCGAGAGAGGGAACACAAACGGGGAGTGGGAGAGGGAGAAGCAGACTCCCCGCCGAGCAGGGAGCCCGATGCGGGACTCGATCCCGG